ATGTTGTAGGAGACGTAGTCGGGGAAGTTAGGTCCCGGTCAGTGAAGACTTTCGGGCCGGAGGGTACCGCACGCTGCGACGCAGACGAAACCTGTAAGTTGCGGGTGAACTGGCAGCGGGTGGTAGGTGAGGCCATATCTGGCAAGCACCGCTGAGCAGAGGTTATCGTAAGGCTGCTGGCTGGAGGTTGAAGTGCCAGAGAGATGACGCAACTCTACCGGAAGGGCGTCTTGAAGAATCGCGTGCATCAGTGGCTGGTCCGTGACGCCATTCAACGCCAGAACGGCATCGAGCTGCATGAATCATACCTTGGGGTAGGTCGATTGGAACGGCGGCACTGGCAGGCAGAGTTGCGGGAACATGGCCGCGGGCCACTCGGCGAAGGGCGTGTTCTCCGGGTCACCAATGTAGCGGCGAGAGAAGAGAGACGTGAGATGACGTCGAAGGCGGCCGACGGGGCTGTGCCAATCTCGGCACTTTATGCCAAGGCCTGAAGCGGAGCCACGTCGGCTACCAGCGTCCGCCACGCCAGGCGTGTCGGCTCGTTCTAGTTCTCGCGCAGCTCGAGCCTCGCATCAGCTGTGCTAGAGGCGCGGCGCGGTGATGAAGAAATGATGATGGTGATGATGGCGCTACAGCTTGATCCGTGACCATGTCTGAGAGAAGTGCAGCTGACTCAGCTTTAGAAGTCAGGAGTAGTGCTTCCAGAGGCTGCAATAGTATAGAGCATGTAGGGATGAAGTGGCGATGAAAATTGGCGAGTCCGAGAAAACGTCGCAGAATGCGTGTGGACGTGGGATGCGGGTAGTCCATGATGGCTTGAACCTTGTCAGGTAGAGGAGTGATGCCATCTTCAGTGATCTGATGTCCGAAGAAAGCTATCTTTGAGACTCTAAACTGACACTTGCCGACATTAATTTTCATGTCGCAATCACGCAGTCGAGTAAGAAGCTCACGGAGATGTGCCTTGTGCGTTTCAGCGTTCTTGCTGGGATCCAGAACATCGTTTATATTGGCGAAACAAAGCGGCAAGCCTCCTGTGACTTCGTTTATAAAACGCTGAAATGTCTGAGCTGCGTTTTTGAAACCGAAAGGCATTCGCAAATACTCATAAAGTCATAATGGGGTAATTATTGCAGTTTTGGGAATGTCGGAAGGCTCAACGGGAATCTGATGATAAGCTTTCACTATATCCATCTTTAAGTATACTGTTGTACCGGTCAAGAAGGCAGTGCAGTATTGAATAATGGGTAACGGGTATCGATCGGGAAGGGTGACTGCATTGAGAGCCCGCCTTACGTAGAAACGCTTGTACCGTGTTAACTGCATCTTGCAGTTTTCCTTCGATGTTTGTGCCATTGCCCCCCGTGCTCCAGAATGTAATGTCATCGGCGTAGAAGGCATGCCTGATGCCAGCGATTTGAGAAAGTTGCCGCGAAAGTTGCCGCATGGATAGATTGCATAGGAGTGGAGATATATAGCCCCTTGGGGTGTGCCTCTCGGCCTTAGGTTGAATTGCTGTGAGCGCCAAATACAAGGCACGTAAAGACATTTTCTCCGAAATCAACCTTCATGTGGCTGACAGTTCACACATTCCAATGGTAGGGCAGGTACGAATTTGGGGCATGATTATACAAACCAATGGTAGTAACGCCGCCAGCGTGAGACGCATCTCAAAAAAGCTGAAGCAATGGCAAAACTCATCAATAGAGTGGCCAACAAACGTGGTGGACTGTCTGAGGAGAATATCCGAAGACTTTTCCATCCGTTTCTTATGAGTCACATTAACTACGTAGCCCCTGCCCACCTTTTGCAAAAAAGAGACGAGAACCGTATGGATGTAATCATTCGTTGTTGTGTTAAACAGGTCCTTGGTTACCAAGAAACACACGAACGCTAAAGCTCAATGAGCTAGATATGCACAGCCCCTTCAACGAAATTGTAGAAGCACAGAAATTTTCCCAGCTTGCAAGGCTTTCTTCCACAGAGGCTTACGATGATTATTGGCACACAATGGGCTCAATTCTCCTGTTACCCAACAACGGCAGTGCCAGATCACCGAGGAGTTACGAGCTGAATTCACAGTATCCCCGATACCCCGAAGCATGCTCCCCACGCATAATGTGGGGAGAAGGCAGACACGGGCACGACCCCTACTCAGTGCTGCCACTGCTATGGAAGATCACGTGGCCTTCGTAGATGCAGCGCAGAACGGAAACTCGGATCATTTTGTGTCGGTTGTCACCACACTCAAAGGCGAGCATTTCTCGTTACTGACTTCGCTAGACGCGAACGCCGATAGTGCTGAGCAGGTTGTGGTAGCACTAGTTCTCGCTATCACCAAGCGCACAGCTATTTACACAGACTCGCGAGCAACCACGAGTCTTCATGATGGGTTCGGCATGCCATGAAGCTACTCGAGTTCTCTGTGGTGCTATTTTTACAGGCAAAAAGCACATTATCTGGTTCCCGACACACGTTGGCCGACACGTCCATAGAACCATCCTTAATGCCAATGAGTTGGCGCACTCCCGGGCACGAGGTCTAACATTCCACGCCAAAATGAACCACTTGGAGGCAGAGGACACGCTTTGGTTTTACCGATATCCACTGCTAACTTTTCAAGAAACTTGTAAGAACTATCAATTGGAGCAGCGGAGGTTCCCCCTCCCGCATCCAACTTTAAACAGAGCTCCGTCTATCACGTTACGTCAACTGCAGACTGAGGCATACGTTTCTCCCCTGAATTGCTCTAAATATATGGACGGTATACAGCCAGGCAGCCCTCGCTGTGAAAACCCGCGTTGCACTTTGCAACACATGCTTTGGTAATGTCTTGCCTTGCTCGAGAGCTCCGGTTCTCCCTCAATGGAGGAGGACTTGCGATCTCTTCTCACATGTAGGAAAAAGAAGACCAGCTAGGGGTGATCCAGAGAGCCCATGACATGGCCGAGGAGATGCATCTCCCCGTTCTGTCATGGGTGCGGCCCGCCGATGTCGCCCCCAAGGGGGAGTGAGCGTCGTTTCCAAATCAAATAAAGTTCTTTGCCTGCCTGCCTGATAGCCCGATAATCACCACAAGGCTGCCAGTCATTGTTCTTCTTGGGAACCATGGGTTGCGCCGACGACCACGAGCTTAATGACGCACGGATGATCTGCAGCTGTAACATATGCTCGGATTCGTTGCGAGCGATTTGAAGTTTATCAGGGCCAAGTCGGCCAAACCGACAGTGGACACGTTTGCCTGTGGTAACGAGGCAGTGGGTCACAGTGTGCTTGGGGGTCTTGTTCATTAGAGACTTCGTAGTAATCTCCGGAAACGCGATGAGCGGAACAGTGTATGGTGACGTAGACGATTTATGAAATTGCATGGTGTTAGGTGCCGTCGCACGGGACAGAAAACCATTGACCGATAAACCGGTATAGCTATTCGCCAGGCGACAGCGGTTCATATCCACGAGCACATGAAAATGCCTTTAAAAATTGGTACCGAAGATTGCGTAGCGTACGTCTGCTATCCAAAATAACTACTGTAGTCTCTTCTTGAGACCTAGATCAAGGGTCAGATACTTTTGTCTATAGGTTGCAATCAGAGAAGAATTAATCGCTCGTAAAGAAGTTGACTTCTCGTGGATACGCCGGTCAGTTTAGGAAGCTGGGACTATATAACCCTTATTATTTCGTGTCACACCTTTTTTGTGCTACCTGGGCTGCTTGCGCAGACACCCCTTCGAGGAGCTAGTGCATATTTACGAATGTTTTTCAATGCTTCGATTCAGAATAACGCGCATCAATTGCCTGCCACAAACGGCATAAAGCAACCAAACAAACATCATAAATATATCAAAGTGAATATTGTCATTAGCTATACTTCATGTACCAGTGGAAGTTCCTCTACTTGCACCTAAAAGGACAAAGCTATCGATAACTACAGCCAATCACGTACTGCATGCTCTCACAGTTCATTTCTATTCATTTTCAAAGTAACTATTGTTATCTATTTAGTGATCATAACTGCCTACTTACAAACTTCTATGCATGCGTCACAGATTAGCATTGTTTCAAGCTTTGAACTTCAGAGCTAATAAACTAAATTGTACAGGTAGTTAAAACGTAACGCTTGGCCCTTCTTTTTGAAGCCAAAATATGAAGTTGATCTTATATTATAATTTTGTAGCTGTGGGAGCGTCGTGCGGCACTCAATGTTAAGCTGACGTACCTTTTCTCTTAAAAATCACCAAACTCTCGCTTTTAAAACACCCTCTGCAAGTGATTAGCATCCCACAGGCCCGCAATCATCTTTGAACACAGTTTCGAAATGCTGCTTATCGGTAGTCGTGGCTTCCGAAAACACACGTACCAAATGTTGTCGCGCAACACATTACCTTGTTTTTATAACAAATTCTAAAATTCAGCTAAAATCAATTTCTCTTCTCGCGTCAAACTATCCTATGTAACGAAACATGATTGCGTAATAGCCCCAAGTTTTATGCCGTTGGCTGATTTGAGCATTGCGTACGTACCAGTTACTAGAACCGCCCCGGGAGGCTATGTCGTGTCTGACCGTACGCGCGCGATCACACTGAAAAGCCTCTCGTGTGAAGAACAAAAAAGACATAAGTGCTCAAGCTCAAGGGGTGCGCGTATTCCTCTCTGCTTAGCTTCCAGTGCTTTCGCCGGGATTAGACAAGACAGAAAGCAATTACAGCGTGCGACGAATCTTTGTAACTTCACTCGTACTGGACCTGTTGTAAAAGTTTTTGCGGTGGTGAATTTGTGAGGCAGTAAGCTCCATTAGTGAGCTAATGGCTCACTGAACAAGTGTTTCATAGCCCCTTTATTATGAGGTGGTTGGGACTCGAAATGATAAATGTGCGAGTGGCAATGAAGGTAGCTTCAGAAAAAAACATGAAGCTGAATTCTTCAGGCCATTGGGCCCTACATGCAGTGAAAAATTTTCTTAAGTTCACAACACCGGAGAAAACATTAAACGCACTTACCGCATGAGCATATGCATTGATCGTCCGTGGGGCTTTTATGGCAGGCCAGTGTTGTGTCACCCTGGCATTGAAACCAACATGAAAATCTTGAAGAACTACAATCCAAGTCGCCTGCGTTGATATGAACAGAAAGCAAAAAAGAATCAGTGTAAATTGAGTAACCACTGACTAGGTCCACAGTATTACGTACGCTTCCGCATGTGCATGTTAAGCAGACATGAGTGCAAGCATTTGAAACTAAGCATGCAGTAACTGTTCCCACAGTGACATGCAAACGCGTTGTGGCAAGCAAATTACGTGAGGAACCATCGAGACTACAGGGCTTGGCCCACTCACCACTAGGTGCCGGCTCTGTGCCACATTGAGGTGAATCTTGGGTGTTACTGCAACTCATAATAATGAGCAAGGCGACTATCTCTTTTCTGCAGACAGCGATCGCAGGTCTTTTAGAAAAAAAACCAAAGCCGAGCTTGAACTACAAATTCTAAAGGGAGAGAAGATAGAAAGAGAAAAGGGAAGGCCGGGAGAATAACCAGATATTGGCATCTGGTTTGCTACCCAGCACTACAAGTGGGGAAATAGGGGCAAGAAAGAGGGTGTAGAGAGATAGAGAGGGAAAAAAGGGCTCGTGGACTCAGGATAAAACAAAAACGCACACAGAAAGGGCATTTTAGCTAAGACCGTTCAGAAAGGCCGCTTGATCGCAAAAAGCGCAGTAGCCTTGTAGGGCCTTCTGCGACGTCACATTCTGTCGATTTTGTAAAATCATTCCTCCAACAAAGGTTGATTATCTAATTTGCTGAGTTTCTTGCGAAGGCATAGTCGCTGTCTACTATGCTCAAGCAGTCACAAAATATATGCCGGATAGTTTCTTCGTTGCCACAGTGGTAACAGGCTTCGGTGTCAGCCATCCCAATGCAAAAAGTGTAGGTGTGGTAAAGGCAACGCCCAACCACAGCCTACACAAAACGGTCTCGTCTGCTGGGCGAAATTTCGACGGGAGTTCAAGACTTATAGGAGCACTGACATCAAATTTACTCACGCCAAGATTTTCGCATCAGCGGGTAGCTATAGACCTCGTAGCAGCGATTCACGACCTAAAACGTAACTGAGGGATGAATAACAATCACTTTTATTGATTTATATTACTGGGATCTAGCACTATTGAAAAAGCAGCCGGTAATTCCGCCATTTTTAGCGCTGGGAGCGCCAGCAGTAGCGCTACCTCGTGGTCACCTCGAGATCACGCCACAGCTGACCACTTCTCCACAGAAAAGAGTGACGTGAGGCTCAGCTGCTCCGCAAAGATTTCATCTGTAGGCGGACACATTCAGTCATGCCTTGTCACTTGCATTGCTGTCGACTCGGGTTCAATACGGTAGTCTGGGACAAGGAATCCCCGTGATTCGCGACGTCGCGAATTATTTTTCCTTCGATCGACCTTTTGCAAAACAGTGATTCTGAAATGGACGCCATTTCAAGCAGCACAGCAGAGGTACCCGAGGATGCATGCTTTAGCCATGTTCGCTCGTGTGACTCAGCTAGCTATATTGGTGTGTTTTGTCGTGCAAAGCATTCTGGTATACGCACAGGGGTCACTGAAATATAGCTACCACGAATGAGCATCAGCGGAGAAATTGAATACGTTTCCTGCGTGTCAGGTTCTTTTTTGCACCCTAACAGATAGCCCCATCTATCCAGCTTCTCGCAGTTAACACGATGTTACCACTTTTACGTGGACGCAAAGTGTACAGATCAACGAAAACTTCAACGATACCTGCGCGTTACTTGTTAGCGATGATATATGACTACACGCTCTTCCACGTTTGACAGCTTGCGGTCGTGTTGATGTGTAACACATACGTGATTTGAAAACACAACCTGATTGCGCTTTTTCCGTGCTTTAAACTAGACGACTGCAACTCAACTGCAACTCACAACGATTCCTCGACATGCTGATCAACAAGCACACGTTTATCACGCTCTTTTTTTCGATATTCTTTTAAAGGTGGTTTTATATTGATAATTTCACGTAATCATTCAAACCAGTGTGACGAAGATCAGACGCGACAAGCCACGGCCGGGATAGACTGCACCTTCGAGCGCTAGGCCCGGCCGTAGACGAGCGAGTGCGTTTCTGCACTTCAGCGCCAGTCGGCGCCACGATAAGAACACTCGGATCGTACACAACATCGCTACTAGGGCATCGACACTCAGGATTGTAATTGTGGAATGTATCACACCGAACACGTAGCACTAGTGTCGATGTCACAGGGCCGCCTATTTTTTGTTCTTTCTCCTTAGCTTTTCTACGCTGTTTGACATCGAATTAAAACAACTTCCACGCGACGGATGCCGTTCAAATTCGGCCAAGAAGACCTATGGATACCAAGCTATCGAATGATGGGCACATCTCGATCTTGAAATTTGATGTCAGTGCCCCTTTGAGGTAGGATCAAGCGAGCACTGTCGGGCGTGCTGGAAGTTCGGCTGATTTCATTGTTACTAAGGAACAAGAGGGGTATCAAGGTTGCTCTTTCAATGCAGCGACTAACCTGCCACAACTATTCCTCCCTTTATGATGTAAATGCGAAGTTACTCTCCCCCTCCTCAAGGGAACAACAGTTAATTTTGGCGCCAAAGAAGCATCACTTTTCGTTCGATTCTGTCGGCATTTGGAAGCTTTAACAGGCATGGGATTAGATATACAGTCGATATAAAAGCACAGAACTTAGAAGTAGCTTTCAGAAAATTTGCTGACACACAGGACGTCAGCATGCGCATACACATTCTACTACACAATGCCATGCTACGGCACCGTCTGGAAGGAAACTGGTCTATGTACGCACTACCGATGGATCTCTTTTAACGCGATAGCGTTAGAGAGCTCGTGTCACAGAAATTCCGCCGTCGGCATCGGTTGTGAGCAAAAAACGGCAGTGAGAGAAAAGTTGAAAAAAAGCAAATAAAATGAAGAATAAAACTTGGTCCCATTGAGGATTGCACCCGAGCTGTTCGCATGGCAAGCAGGTGTCCTACCACAAAGGCACGATGTTACTTGCAGTCACTTCGGGAAAAAGCACTACACGAATACCATGTAGTGGAAGGAGTCTTCTTAACGGATTTTTTGACAGGTGTATCGACGAAAACAAGCCCCTTCGGCGATTTGTAGGCGCATTTCGGAGGCCATCAAACTACGTTGGAAAAGGCCGGGATAGGGCATCTATCACCGCTAAAAACACACAGAAACATTATAGCAGCACTAAAAAAATTGCCCGCAGCTTCCCTCGGGGGAACACTGAGGAGGATGCGGAGCATATAATTGGTTAACGGGGTGTTAAAGTGCGACTTACTTGGGTCGATGGCTGAATTGGTTAACGTGGTTGTGAAATGGGGTGTTAAATTGCGACTTACTTGGGTCGATGGCTAAATTGGTTAACGTGGTTGTAGGAGGGGGTGTTAAATGAGTGAACACGTACACACGTATGCGAAAGGGCGGCGCTGGTCGAAGGGACGTCGATCATTGTGTTTGTGGATTCGTTGGAATTCATTTCACGCGACCTTGGACGTCGACGCGCCGTACAAACCAACCGACGAGCGGCAACTGAGCGAGCGAGCGCCGACCTTGAGTATATATACAGCGCGACGGCGCATGCACTGTCAGCTGTTGAATGTTCTCGAAGCGCGACGCCACATGCGCGTCCACTGGAGAATCAGGAGAATTGTAGATGTCGAACGCGGTGTGTAGAGGCGGAAGGGTGCACAGATGGTGGAGGAGTGAAGCGCGCGCGGTGTGTAGAGGAGGAAGGGATGCACAGATGGTGGAAGAATGGGCAACGGCACGACGGCGCATGCGCGCGCGTCAGCTTTCGAATTTTCGAGAAGCGGTGCGGACGGCGTGGACGGCGCGGACGGCGCACTACAAGGCGCGAGTATAAGATGCTTCCGCATCTAAAATGGACAACCATGTCCATCTAGCAGAAAACACATCACGCCTTTGCTGAAGCGTTGATCAAGCAAACAGCAAACGCTAGACATTGTGCTGCCATCTGTGAGGCATTGTGAGACTCTTTAAGGTCTTACAAAAAGAGAACGCACGGCGAGTATCCTGGAGGCTATGTTGGTTTAGATCTAAAACCTGTATGTACCATGCACCCGCGCGCGCGCGCGTGTGTGTGTCTCTCTGAGTACCATCAAACGCTCGCGCTTGCCCACGCGCGTTTGTGTGCGTGTGTGTAGCAAAACGTAATATTAAGTATGCACTTAACAGTTGAAGGGCGCACTAGAGGCCGGATTTTGCTATCGCGTTCAAATCCTAAAGGAAAAGCGTAAGGGCTCCCAATTTTTCGCACACGGCGTGAACATTTCTGCAGAGCCTACAAAAAAGCAGGAAGGAGGGTGCTTCCCTCTCCAAGACAGGAAAGCGCCCTTCTTGCCGTGCCGTGTGCAAAGCTAGCCCGTCAAGAAAGCGAAGCGCCCGTTTCGGGGTAGCTATTTGGGTGTGTGGGAGTCCAAACCGGACTTCACCGATTCTGCAAAGCATTTAAGCTGGCATCTTCTGACGCAAGTGGCGTTAACATCGATTGACTGGCTGATAAACCAGCGTCACAGCCAGCGAGTGAGCCAGTCTGATGCAAATAAAGGCACCTCTTGTGGTACGTCTTACCCAACACACGGCAAACCCCTTTCCCCACGGGTCCATTTCCAGCCAGTGACCAGTGTCGTTTCTGACCGGAGGCTTCGAACTACTGGCTGATGCAAGAGATCCCCAGGGCCTATAAAAGAACGAAGTGGCACGACGAGATAGAGAGCAAGCGAATAAATCCCGGCTGATCGTTGCACCTCGGTGCGAGGTCCGTAAGCTGTCGGCCCCAGTGCCAAATACGCATGCCTTTCTTTTTACTGTAGAGTCTGTTTCACACCTTGGGAAAATATCGTAACATGTGGCTTCGCGATGTGGCAATGACGTGGCCAGTGCTGTCATCATGCGCCAGCGACAGATCGCGCGTGCGCAAATGATTGATGGGCATTGTGTTGAACGGTTAAACCACGTCGTCAGCTACAGTAGTGAACGGTGGCCGCATTGTCAGGCAGCGGGCGAATTTCATCCT